TTTTCTTTTTAAATCTAAGATTTGAAAATTTTTAATAGTCTATAATATATCCTAGACAGATAAACCGTTTCAGCTCARAATCGTTTTTCGTATACAATGATATAATATCATTGGAATCAAATTTAATTCCAGCCATTACAGTAACCTACTGTACATCAGAGCGACATCCACAACTTATATCTGAATTTATAAAAAAATTTTATTTGAATTTTTTCTCCGTATGTAACTATTTTTTTTTAATCTAGATATATTAGTTATGAGTACTACGAAACAATATTTATTATTGAATTCATATATCTATGTATAATTAATATTGAAATATTATTGTGATTTGAGTAGTTATTGTATACTTTTTATTCATATAAGTTAGAAGAACGTCGTGTAACCTAGAAAAAACACATGTATACGCAACTCGAGTGTAATCAAAAAAAAACTTGGGGACACAATTCGTTTGCAGTTGTTTTGGTGATGGAAACGCATATAACTAGTAAACTATATAGACACATATGAAGGCCAAAATTAAAAATATTTAGATTATATAAAACATTTTAAAAGTATATTATGTGACGATACAAACTTATTTTTTTAAATAAGAAATTAACTTTTTTACTGTACCTATAGTAGAGGAGAGGAGAGGAGAGAGTTCGCCCGCGTAAGACGGATAAGGGCTTGAAACACAGCCACCGGGGTCAGAGCCTCGTTTCTCCCCGTCACAAAGTTGGTTATGTCTGTACCTATAGTTAGTTGATTTTCTGGTTTTTTTTTTATATTGAAAGCATTTAAACTGATTAAATTTTAACGAATAGATAGTTTCAGAGTTATTATTTATATTTATRTTGGATAATAAGTAGTCTTTTATATAAAATATAAAACTGATGTTGCGAATAATCCATGAAAAAATCGAGTACCTACCTACTACCTATAAAGGTACTCGAATACATTTTTAAAATGATAAAATTGTCATCGATAAATATTAATTAAAACTCAAAACAATTTTTCATAATAATATAATAGTCTTAATATTATGGTATCTTATCTAAACCAATTATCACGAACTCTAACCAATAACCATCCTTATTCGAGCTTAAATTTAAATGACTTAGAAATGTGTTCGTGTTTCGATTAATGTATTAAGTGTATTCTAAAAAATATGGTACTGAAGACAAGTATAAGTATAGGTACTTGTAAATAATCCAAAAAACAGAGTTTAAATTTATTAATCATCAGAGCATGCTTAAATACTTATCACTCAGTGACCAGGTATATATACTATGGTAACAACGAACCTTAAAGTTTTCTACTTCTGCTTTCCTGTCAATGATCTGTTCCGTATTTTTGCCGTAAATGCGAACCAGCACACCGTCATCTTCCGGACGCGAGTCATCGAACAAACCGACCAACTTGTTGGTAATACCATCTGTGAACAACTAATRTTTTATGGACAATATWTCGATTAGTTATTGTTTCAGATTTTTTTTGTAAACCATTAAAATAAATAAAACTGCGTTATAGCTTGTATAATAGAAGCATATAMATTTATTTAACATAAATGTACAAATGTATACAATATATTAAATACGAGCGCCGTCACACACTATATATAATATGAGATATTTAATGTTTATTTTTATGTTTTTACCTTGTATCGGATTTTTTTCAAATCGCAGTCTGGTCGTATTAGTTTTAGTATGACTCGAGATCCGTTCTCGATATCGTCGTCTTCAACAAAAATGGACAAGTGAGGAATAGTAGACATTTCGAACGATCGAGAAGCCAATAATATACTGTWATAAAATAATTTGTTTGTCTATCACAACATACAACGCACARTGTAGTAAAAGGTGGGACGCGTGTGAATGCCGTGTGATAACAATCATAAACCAGAAGTATATTGGCTTCTGATCTTTACGACCAACTTGTTTCCTCTATAAAATCAATATACGAGTTAGTTATGCATTGTTTATTGSCAGCAAATAGATAAAGTTACGCATTGTTTTACAGACACGAGATGTAATCTGTAAAAAAAATAAAAGTATAATAGTATTGATTAATATTTTATATAAGTACGAATGAGAAGGAATAAATTGACTATAATTTTATTGTGTTAATATAATCAAATATAATCCCTTCACTAATATTTTTGGCCTTGGTACAGAACTAAATCCAGGCCCCTCTTAAATAAGGATTAATTTTGAAAAAWTTTTTTAATATATATTCAAATAATTATTTGCATGAAYGCCGGGCCCCTCCAAAGTCCGGGTCCCTGTACCATGGGTTCTTATGACACCCCTCCCCCCTGTATGGGTCCTCATCAAAGGTAGGACTTATTGGAGCACTTATAGTGTATAACATGCAATATTTTGAAACAAATTCAGTTATTACAGTGAAACCTCTAAATACCGGAAACTCTCGGTCGCTTAAACGTCGTCCGCTATTTGGAGGTGTCCGCTATTGAGAGGTGTCCGTTAAAAGAGGTT